TGAATAAAGCTAACAGAGCATTGCTGCTGCATTTCCCCTGTGAATATTAATGGAGCATGTGTCTGTTTTTGCCTCAGTCGGTGGCTCGGTGCTCACTCCAAGTGCAATGCATATACAGTGCAGACTTTTACTGCCCTCAAAGAGCATACTGCTTTGAATTCTGACAACTTAGTCCACTTAAAACAAACATCATGAGGTTTGTACTAACTTTTTAATTAATATCCAGCGAGGCATGTACTTCACACCTCCCATTAGATGTAAACTGGGTCTAAAGTAAGGGTTCGGTCAGCACAGCGTGATGCTCAGGTCTAGAGAGAGCACCTGGTTGTGTAACACCCCAGTGCCACTCCACAGGAGCCATGCATTATGCAGCGATTGCATTTCCACGCTGCTTCCTCCTGCGCAGCAGTAAAAATAGAATCGCAGACCTCGGTGCTCATGCTTCGTTGTTTACGACTGCGCCATCCTCCTTCGCTCCTGAGCACGGACGGTTATTACTCAAACACCCGTACACACACGCGCGCGCACCTTACCAGAGATATTAAGATCAGAAGAGGTCAGGCTTCTTGGGGAAACATCGACCTAAGATGTCAAAGATCTCAAGCCACCGAGTTTTCTATGGCTTACTTATTAATAAAAAAACACCTTTGTGTTCATATTCTCCCTCTGAACGGTTCCTGAGGCGTAGAGAAAAAAAAAAAATGCAAACTCTGCATAAAGCTATCCAGTGCTTCATCCAGTACTTGATACATTTTGTTAGCTATACATATTTTGTCTAATAACTTGATAAGAATTTACATATATTCAAGTTGATGTTTCAGTGGGGGCTGTTAGTGGTAACTTTGCTTGCATTACCAACTTTGTGTTTTAAACAACAGAAAAGGCCAATGAAATTTCCTCCAGTTATACAAAATCTCTATCTACTCTGTTTACTGTTGTCACCGTTGCAGTTCTAGTGCCTATTATAAGGAACAGCACAATATAAAAAGTGAGTGCAACTTCACTGACAGCTACACTGAGGCAGCCTTTGAGCCCACGCAGCAATAAAATCTGTGGCTCTTACTTTCTCTAAGTCTACCGATATCAAAACTGCAGACACAAACAAGAGAGAATGAAAAAGACTTGACTGAGAACTGGGGTGCATACCCACTGAATGAAAGTAAAAGTCCATCGCTTATTGATAGAAACAAACTTTTCCTTGTTTAAAATGATAGAATGAAGAAACTTATGATGTAAAAAACATTACATCTTTTTAATTATAATTTTTTTAGTGATTCTACTGTGTGCACATGGAAAAAAATCTCATTTGTGTATACGGAGCAGGGTCAGAAATTAAGAGGACCCTGGAAAACAAATGCCACAGAAAGTGACAAGAATGTCACAGTAATGAATTCATCTGATTTTATTTGTAACATTTATAGACTTTATATTCTATTTTGGCCTAGTTAGTGGTCGAACCACAAGGAACACCTCTAGCAACCATTCAAAATGCCTTAGAAACACCTTAATGACCATCTATAGAACATTATCAAACGCCCTAGCAAACAATTTTGGCACTCTTCATTAAATTAATTTATTGATACATTTGCAACAATATGTTGAGTTCATGATTTAATTGTATATAGTAGGTTGCAAAGGGAGGTTTACACAGCTATGCCATAGATTAGAAGAACCATTTTTGGTTCCCCAACGGTTCTAAAAGAACTATTTTTATTTTAGTGTGAAGAACATTTTAATAATCTAATAACCATTTTGCACTAAAGAACCTTTTGTGCAATAGAAAGTTTCCGTGGATGTTCAAGTTTCTTAATGGAACCACAGATTCTTTATTTTTAAGAGTGTATAAAAAGCCCCTGAAAGGAAAAGATCACCCCTTAACAGAAAAGTTCATTTCTGACACTGACTCAGAGCTGTCATTACCTTCCACAAGTCTGTGTTAAATCACCATGCAGTGTGGGTTGCAGCTCGACTGGGAGAGCTCAGTCTTGTTTCCTCGAACTGTTTGGGTTGCATAATTAGTTGAATATAAATCAGTGAATAAAACCCAATCTGCAATTCCAACGATAGGCCATTAAGTGCAAAACACTGATTCTGATTCTTTTTGAATGACTATATTGAAGAGAATTTTCTATAAGATGCAAATAGGATGATCACAGATTTAATTTGTTCACTTTTCATTAATACAACTTTACGAATCACAGACTGAGCAGCAGTGTTTGAAGCCATGTACGGCTCACATCACAAATGTAGCACAACTAGCCACTGGCTGCTTTGTTTCCTCTGACGACGTTTGATGAATTTTCATTTAGTGATGTGCAGGGTTTCCAGTATTGAAAAGGCTTTAATGTATCCCTTATTTTTTTCATTCTCGCTCTCTTTCTTTTTACATTTTTTAAATGTATTTATTTATTTTTTTACCTTGAGCACCCTCACTGCAGCATCAATGGAACAGTTCCCCCAAATTCAAGTCCTGCTTATCCTAATGGGTCCTCTTAGGCTGAGAAGAGATACAACCGTGCCAGACTCAGACAAGAGACTGAACGAGAGTGTGCGTTCACTCGAGGGATGATGCGCAGCAGGAGCTCAAAGGAGAGAAGAAGGTGGAGGAGGGAGGAGGGGGTGAAGAGGAGGAAGAGGAGGAGGGGAAGAGAGAGTCTCTATGGCCAACTCTGAATGTAGTTCTTTTTCAAGGTCAACCTCATACACATTGGAATGGTTATACAAAAACTGGAAAAAAAAACAAAAAAACAGGTTACATACAATGTGCACTTTCATTAGAAAGTGAGAATAGCTTTACAAAAGATCCTTTCTTCTAGATTGATGTTTTCAATAGCAGCTGCCATTGCCTCCGTATCATGGGGGCCGAGCGGCGTGCACGACGTGGGCAATTTTAACATGCTGGCGTTGTGATAACGGAGCAAATTCTTTTATTGATTTTGGTGTATATCACAAGAGTTTCCCTTTATCATCACTCTATAGGTCTACTGTCAGCCCACGTAGCCTCGTAAAGATAATTTCACATATTGCACAGATTTGTCATTGTTTCCCTGAAGACATCCACCAAGCACAAATTCATGGTTGTTCATTAACAAGACGGTCAATTCCCCAAACAATGTGCTTCATGTCACAATAAAAAGCAGGTTTTATGGCTTGTGGCAGTAAAGCGCTATTAAACAGATAAAGCACACCAAACAGGCATCTGGAGGATTATAAAAAGGGCTGCCACACGAATAAACTCACACATCCCAAACCCATAGCCGTTCAGAGAGAGGGGTTATTGAGTGCATGCTGTACAAAAATGCGTAAATGCTGCCCCCTTCAGGAAGACTTCGGAGAGGCTTCAACAGCATGTAGATTGAAGAGAAAATGGTGAGTCTTCTCTCAAGTGAGGTTTACTGCTGCCCCCATGTGTTAAGTTAAGTGTGCGGCTTTATGTAACCTCTCAAATTTGGCACATTTCACATAAGAGAAATTCAGAGAAATTGAATTGTCTTTCTCTGAATTCCTCTTATGTGAAATAAACAAATAAATATTTCTTTATTATTAAATACATAATACACATACCGATGAAAGATTATATTAAAATATTCTCTATTATATTTAACTTTGTAATAATAATACAATTTGAAATGCTGCCCTTCTCAAGTCATACATTGACAAATTGAGATGAAGCAACAAAACTTTGTGCTGTGGTGAAGCAATAACAATTTATCTCTTAATATGAGTAAAACCCAAGAAGTAATTTTAGACTTCAGGAGGTGTCCAGTGCCCACTCCTCCTCCTTATGTTGAATAAGGCCCAATACTTCCTGAGGAGACTCAAAACGGCCAGTATGAGCATTACAAACTTGTGTGGAAAGACTAGCAACATCACTGGTTCATTTTGTTTGGCAAATGTTCTGCTGTGGGCAAAAAGGCTGAAAGACTTTTTTCTTGCAGCTTGTCATCTAGTGTGTGTATACTCTGTGTATTGTGTATATAGAGTATGTCTATATTGCATGCTGAGCCTATTGTATATTGTCTGTAGTGTATATTGATACCTTTTATTTGAGCACCTGCAGCGTTAGAAATTAACTTTTTTTTATTAAAGGACAATTTTTGCCCCGTTTTTTAGCTTCATGAGAGCATCCTTTCTTTCCTTCTTTTTTTTTAGCTTAATGAGAGCATGCATTTTTCCAAAATCATAAAAACATTGAGTCGTCCATTTAGGTCAAAATGCAATCTATTAAATTGAATCAACATCATATACAAACAATACAAACAAAACAATGGACTGATGTTTGCCAGCCCTCTGCATATTCATTTGGAAAAGCTGAAGTTGACCATAGTGCTAATAATAGGGATGATTTGTCTTTTCTGTCTTGATAATTTATGTTGAATTAATTATTAATTGATGAACATGTTTTGCAATATTTTGCGCATATGATGGATTACAGATAGTCTACACTGTTAAAGCTTTCTGATGAAATCTCTTTGGTGAAAATAACAGCTCAAACCAGCATAAGTTGGTTTGCTGGTGGTTCCAGCTCCAAGCTGGTCTTTTGGCTGGTTTTAAAGGAGTATAGGGCACAGTCGGTTACACTGGAATAGCCTACCAGTTAACCAGTTGGAACCAGCTTAGCCAGGCTGTAAGACTGGTTTTTATATTTTGATATTCATTTGGTATTTCTAAGTATGCTAACCAATGTTCCGTTTGAAAAACATTTGTCGAGGTTCATTTAGCAGTCTTGCTCAAGTATGTCGTATTCGCACTATTTCGTTAAGCTTCGGCAGCGCTTCGTCTATATCCGTCACCACTCGACTTTTTCCGCCACGCTGTCGGCAGCTCGCGCTCAGTGAGTGCAGTGGGGTTGATGATCGGATTTTCGTCTCGTTCTCTGTGTTGTTGTTCTCGGTGACGCGACGGAGGTGTAGCCTGACGCGGTCTCTTACGTGTCGGCCTGAATAAAAGTGGAGCTCCGAGGGCTCGAGAGTGACGGAGGGAGTCTGTATCGGTAAGAGGAGACAAGTGTCCGGAGGGAAAGGGCTCGTCCCGAATAGCATAAGAATCTGGTTTGGGTTCGGCCCGTTGGAAACAAAGAGATCATGGCGGCTGTAGTTGTTGCATGCAGAGGGAGGGGAGGCAAACGGGAGAGCAACACAAACCCAGGGTGGGAAATCTTGATGCATGGCTGATCATTTGAAATGCAAGGAAATATGGATGTATAACCTCTGGTGTTCTCTATGCATCTGTGCAGATCATATATGTGGGTTTTCCCCCTTCTTGTTGGCTTCTTTCACACGCTGGCTAGACAAAATGTGTGCTCCTGGGTGGATTCAGGGTGTAATAGTCTTGTATCATTCAGGAATAATTTAATCTTCTCTGATGTCCTTGATGCATTGTGCGATTTATTGTACTCACCCTGATCCTTTAGGACTGGGTTATTATTGCACTGTTTCATTATGTACTATTCTGTGAGCTGTGATTGCGCACCCTCAAGCAAATACATTTTTTATACATAATATAGAACACTTTTTACCTTCTGTACATTGCACATGACTAATAAATGCAGTATTGTATTGCATATTTGGATATTAAATTGCACAAACCTATTGAAATGCAAGTCAATTTGATTATGAAGTTTAAGGCATTACTCATGATCTGTTCCACAGTACCAAAAAAAAAAAAAAAGCAAATAAGTAGTTTTTTAATATCTAGGCTGTCGTTTGGATGCATGCTTATAGATTTAGATGTAAAGATCTATAAATGCACAACAGCTACATGTTTCCTAGAATAATCTGTCTATCAGAAAATAGGATTTGAAAAGTAGAGGGAGAACTATGCATGACCAATCACACCACAGATTGTGAGCGTCATGAGATCACATTCTACCATGCTGGAGCTTGCTCTCTCTCTCTCTCCCTTTCTCATATTATTCTGTTTCAAAGTGCTCTATTGACCTTATTGTTTCACACACAATTAAAAACAGCCACTAATGGTAATAAAACATTGTGTTATTTCTAATATATTCATTTTATCATTATATATAAATTTTATATTCATATTATGTTATCACAAATCATTATTATATGATATTTTAATTATCATACTAACATTATGGTACAAACATTTAGTATGGTTTAAGATTATTATTAGTAGTAGTAAAGCAGATGAGTATAATTTCACCATTCTAGGGGACTGTCTGTTGTTTTGACCAATGACCAATAGGAAGTGTTCAGGAAACCCATTTAAACTATTTTTGCAAATCTTTTTTTTTTTAGTAATTGAAAATGGCTTTTTTTTTTGTCTTGCTAAGCTGAAACCGGTCACAGGTTCATTTATGAAAACCTATCGCCTTGCTAGCTGTATGTGGGGTAAATTAATCCAACTCTTCCTCTCCAGAGGAAGAGGCCTAGAGGTCAGACACTCCAAAATCTACTAATTCTGAACAGTCAAGGGAAGTCAGGACTGCAAATCACAGCATATTGTGATGCACTTTCAATAATAATAAAAAAAATGCTATATGACGACTCCTTTATTGCAGTACTTAATTTTTATCACTGGGCAGTGCACTAGTAATTTTACACTTTAATATTAGATGTTATTGTAGTAGACCAATGCAGAAATAAAGATTTTCAGAGCACCTTGGGGTTGCACACTGGTCTTTATTTAATGAGAACTTACAAACATTTTAAATTCACACTGGGATTTTGATTAATTTCTGCTATGCACTGTAATGCATTGCATCTCTTAGTGTGACGTATGTAGTAGGCGTATGTTTCCAGTGAGACCTGCCAGTATTCTGTGCTAAAGCATCAAAGGTCAGAGTTCACTGAATCCTGAGCGTAAACATGTTCAGCAAGGATTCAGCAGTTTGTTTCCGTATATCTTAAATTTAGTAACTTTAAATGAAGACAAGACATATTTGATGCAGTTTCTTCCCTGGACAAGAACAGTTTCTGGGAAGAACGTTTATCAATGGACATGCAAATGTTGGAGTCTCAGTTTTTAGACCAAACAGCCATTGTATTGATTTATTACTGTGCTCGTCTTGAGTGCAGGAAATTTGCGCCCTTATTTCCGAAGTAATGTCAAATAATTCAATTAAAACTCCGTATAGAGTTGCAGCACATGAACGATTTAGCCATACGTAACTAATGTGTGGCTATATTTGTATATTCTAAAATTAGCTTCCTTTTCCAAGAAAGTCTAGAGCTTCATTTTCATTTGCTTGTCTTATAAAACTGGACAAAACATTTTAGTGGATATTAAACTTTGTTTGGGTTGGGTTTTCATATCTTAATCATGTTACAATATTATACCAGCTAAACTAGATTACAGTACCAAGTAGCATTACAATACCACTGGCTTGGATGCAGTGATTCTTATAGAATTGCAATGAATGTGATGGCACCAGGATGCCATGACGCACTGGTACTTACATCAAACTTAATGTACATTCATTTATAGAAGTCACAGTGACAAAGAAAAAAGGAACTCTGTCTAATCTGACATTACTTGTACAGAGGGCTGCAACTGAGCCATAGACTTTATACTTTACTAGGGAATCAACCTGCTAATCACTTCTGTATATTAAGCTGGAATAGATTAAAGTACTTTTGAAATGCAACAATTACACATTTGAGATGGTCATTTACTCACCCTCAAGTTGTTCCAAACCTGTATGAATGTCTTTCTTCTGCAGAACTGTCTTTCTTCTTTTTTTTACCATACTATGGGAGTCAGTGGGGACCATCAACAGTTAGCTACTAGGGATGTATGTAACGATTACCGGTTTGACGATAAATCATGATAAAATTCCTCATGGTTAGTATTACAGTGTCATCTTTTAATTATCATTAAAACCGTATTAGATTACCGCGATTTAAACAACTCACGATAAATAAATACTGTCCAGCATAAATCACAGTTTTCAGTAACAGTCTCACATGCGCACAGCAGCAGAGTAGTTTTTGTTTTGAGTGAAAACAGGGCGGAAAAGCTGGGAGGTTTTAAAAGAGTGCTAAGGGAATTATACAAATGAATATATGAATAAAGTCATTTTATTTGTTGTTTTTTGATTTTTAAATATAAAACTTGGTGAAGTGGTTTATGTGTCGGTACTTTTTTACCATCTCCAGCACATTTTAACAATACCGTGATAATACTGATAACCGTGATAATGTTGGTCACTATAATCGTGATAAGAAATTTTCATACTGTTACATCCCTATTAGCTACCCATATTCTACCCATCTTTTATGTTCAAGAAAGAAACTTGTACAGGTTTGGAACAACTTGAGGGTGAGTAAATGATGACAGAATTTTCATTTTGGTGAAGTATAGCTTTAATGTCACGTTTTGATGATACTTTTTGCCAGATACTGTATACCAACAACAGTGTTTGCAGAAGTTTTTTCTCAGTATTTCCTCAGTACTATGGAGGATGATTTCAAAGTAGAAATGTCAAAGTTACTGCCTAGTATAGTGACTTTTCTGTGTCTGTCTGATCAGATTTCTGCAGTAGCAGAGAGTGAAGACTTACCAGAGTCAGTGGACGGTGTGAAGATTTTGTCTGGGTTTCCCACTTATAGGTATGTACACTTCATCTGCAATGCCAGATCCAAAGTTTCAGGTTGAGACTGAAAGTAGTGTTGATAAAGAGGAATTAACTTACTTAACATATATTAATCGTTTATGTAATTCAAGTCGCCGTGAAATCAGATTTCTTATTTTTGTATAGATTATTGCAGTGTTTATTCAAATTATTATTATCATCAGTATTATCTTTATTATTTTAAATTGATTTATTATCATCATTATTTGAACATTCTTATCTCTCCAATCTCTCCTCTCCAGCAAGATGTTGCTCACATGAAACAATCGCAGCAATTAGCAAATGACAACAATGGAATCAATTCCCAATGGGCAAAATCAAGATATTTTTTTTCTCGTTCAAGAATTTCACTAGCATACACATCAAAATAGGGAAGAAAAGTTGGTTGTAATTTCTCGTTCATACTGACTTTAAGATCATATAAGAAGTGTTTTTAGGATGTTAAAGGTTAAGGTAGTTCACCCAAAAATGGCAATTTTGTCATTTACTCACTCTCATGTTGTTCCAAACATGTATGAGTTTCTTTCTTCTGTTGAACACAGAAAAAGATATTTTGAAGAATGAGGGTAACCAAACAGTTACTGGCAGCTATTGACTTCGATAGAGGGAGAAAAAACACCATGGAAGTGAAAGGCTACCAGCAACTGTTTGGTTACTAACATTCTTTATTTGTGTGTGTGTGTGTGTGTGTGTGTGTGTTCAGCTGAAGAAAGACTCATACAGGTTTAGAGTCAGTGATGACATTTTTCTAATGATAATGAGGTTTTTGACATGCTGTGTATACTTTGGTTTTATTCTACCAATTTCACTGGGTTTTATGAAATATATAAAAGGAACACTTAAAGAAATTTTACAGTGGGATGACATTATATAGGAATGTATGATGATTAAAAAATACTAAATATGTAACATTGTCAGCAGTTGCTTGTTATCTAGATTGTTTTTGTGTACTTCAAAATGGCTATTTGTTTCTTTGTACCTGTGTCAAAAATGTAAACTTGTAATTTCCATCCTGTTTCTTACCAGCTAACTCAATGACCATGGAGTCGGGAGCCGATGCCCAGCAGGGTGCAGACACTGCAGTCTCTGAAACTGAGAACCACCAGATCACACAGGCCCAGATCGCCACTCTTGCACAGGTATATAGTACTATACAGTACGACAAAAGAATTCAGGGCTTAACGTTTTGTTTTGAAACATAAAGAGCTAAAACGTTCAATCAAGTGTCAGACATTAGAGACAGGATGACTGTGTTTGAATTAGGGATGTCAATTTTCGATCATTTCCATGATCGATCGTCGTTTATGCACAGCCCTGCAAAGCGCAGAGCCCCATATGAAATTGCATTTATATACCGTCACTCACAGCCGCTCGCACGTGTTTTGCGCATGAGCCGCACGCAGCCCAAAATTAAACGACTTAATCGACCATGATAGCTTTAATCGATTGCATCTCTTATCGACAATTAATCGATCACCGATTAATCGTTGACATCCCTAGTTTGAATGTATGTGTGATGTTGGATAGGTAACAATGGCTGCCGGACACGCTAGTGCCACAGCGCCCACATTCACCCTGGTGCAGCTGCCCAATGGTCAGACGGTGCAGGTACACGGAGTGATTCAGGCTGCTCAACCTTCAGTCATTCAGTCGCCACAGGTGCAGACTGTCCAGGTAAGACAAATGAACACTTCCAACATCTCTACATGTTTATGACTGATTATCAGGTGACAAGATGCATTTCATAGGGATGCACGATATTGGATTTTTGCTGATATCCGATATGCCCATATTTTTCAACTCATTTTGGCCGATGCCGATACCGATATATTTCCTTTTGTTTGGAAACAACACCAAGTCTCTCCTGTGCAGAAATTATAAGCAAATTATTTTGAATTTTGGTTAGTTTTTAACAAGAACTTATTTGCTAGAATTAAATAAACAACAATGAAGTTCTTTTGTAATGACAGTACATTGAAGATTTGAAAATAACTATAAATTCAATCGCTGCATTTTTTTTTTTCAGAAAGATGCAGTGGTAACCTTAATATTTTATTTTAAGATTTAACATTTGTTAATGGTCTAAAGCAAGAGTTGTAAAAATTCTGAAAATCTTACACATTGCACACATGCACAACATATTACACATTAATGAATAAATCAGTATATATAAATTAATTTAATTTAAGAGACATGTTTGTTTTGGTTTTTTTGTTCACGTAAGCTATAGCTTCTGAACTTTAAATCAAAACATACTCATGATTTTATGGCATCAATTACTGCTTTATTTAATCAGAGACACAGTGTAAATATTATTTTGTGTATTTTGCTTTCATTTTATTAGAAGTAGGCCAACAGCACCCCCTACGGAATTAAAACTCCTTACTGAGCGGGCATTAGGACCCGGGGGAGGCTGCCGCTGCTTTTGCTGTTGTTTCTTTTTCATATTATCAGAAAATAATTCTTCTAATTCGGCCTGTCAAAGTTTAAATCCCATCTGATAAGCGCGCGTCCTTGTACGTCTCGCAATGATTACACGTGTATTAGGTCAGTAGGCGGTCTTTTGTGGCTGCTTGAATGCATTCGACCACATCAGCATCTACACTACGAGCGCAATCCAGTCGAATTAGTTTTCGACTACCTCTAGAAGTGGTCGAAAGTGGACAAGCTCAAAACATTTCACACCCCGTTTACACCTGTATTTAGCATTGTCCACTTGTGATCCAATCGACCAAAACGCATCTTAATACCAAGTGTAAATAGGGCCTATCATACAGTGAATGTGTCATTCTGTACGTGCATTCTCAGTTTAAATGCAGCGACCCAAAACAGTGAATCTAATCATCATTTGGGCAAAACTTTGCTTCAAGAATGAGCCATACTGCTGACGTGATCTAATCGCTAGCACACCCTGAGCACATGTGGGTTAATGTATTCATCTTATCGGCAAGACATATCGGCATATATTTTCATATCGGGCCGATGCCGATATTTACATTTAAAGCCATTATCGGCCGATTACGATATTGGTGCAATAATATTGTGCATCCCTACCATATAGGCAGATCTAAATATGACAGAATTGTCTGTTGATCAGATTTCCACAGTAGCGGAGAGTGAGGACTCGCAGGAGTCAGTGGACAGCGTGACTGACTCTCGAAAACGAAGAGAGATTCTTTCTAGACGCCCCTCATATAGGTATGTATACGTTCTTCAATGGTTTTACATAAGGACATTTTCAAGTCAACAGCTGTCTGTGATTTATAGGAAAATCCTGAATGACCTATCATCAGACGCTCCAGGAGTTCCGAGAATTGAAGAGGAGAAATCCGAGGAGGACACTGCGACTGCCATCACTACAGTGACCGTGCCAACCCCAATATATCAGACCAGCAGCGGCCAGTACAGTAAGTCCATGACTGAAGTTTTGAGATATTTTGAGATTCAAACCTGCACCTCCCACTTTATAATCACTGCTCAACATGTCAGGAGCACTTTAAGACCACAACTCCCAACATATTTGCATCTTAAACATATAGTTCCATGTGCACAGCTTCTCACCAAATCAATGACAACATCTTGATTGTTGTTTTTTCTTCAGTCGCCATTACACAGGGTGGAGCCATTCAGCTTGCAAATAATGGTACAGATGGAATGCAGGGATTGCAGACTCTCACCATGACCAATGCAGCAGCAGCCCAGCCGGGGACCACCATCCTGCAGTACGCCCAGACCAGTGACGGTCAACAAATACTGGTGCCCAGCAATCAAGTGGTGGTACAAGGTGAGCTGGACTATTTTCCCCTGATTTTTCATGTGAACGTCTGTAAATATAAATTTACATGGCACCTCAGTGATAAAACTCATGGATTCGGATGGCAGTTTATTCACAGTGGAGAAGCGAGTTTTGTGATCCTATGAACCCGGAACACGCTGCTCACGTGGCCAGTCGCATGATTGTCTGCTGTATATAAAATGTCATATGCTTGGAATAATAAGAATAAATTCATATTTAATAATATCTTATTTATTGTTTATTTAAATCTCCCGTTTAAAAATAGGAAAATAGACATGCTATAGTTGAAATGGTTTTCTGTCTTTAATGTTATCTCTCAAAATGATGGATGTCATTAAAAATTAGCAGAAAGTTAATGCAACCTCTTATTTACATAAGGTAAACATAAAGCTGCTTGGTTTATATTTTTATGTATATAACTGTATATAATACATATTTTAAACTTGTATTGCATACCAGCCATAATAATGACCCATTTCAAATGCTTTTCTTCTCTTTCTTCTTTTTGTTCTTAACAGCTCCCACTCGCTGTGGTGGAGCAGTTATGAAATATTGTTTTTGTAAATACTTTTCAGCAGTTTCAGTAATAAATATGCATGCAAATTACAGCAAAGCACAACAGTTACCATACGGTATTTGCCAGTTTTAACAGGGAATCTTGAATTGATTTCTTTTTGTAAAGATGTGGATTCAGACGGCAATTAAATTACCACACATAAAGCTGCTTGGTTTATATTTTTATGTATATAACTGTATATAATACATATTTTAAACTTGTATTGCATACCAGCCATAATAATGACCCATTTCAAATGCTTTTCTTCTCTTTCTTCTTTTTGTTCTTAACAGCTCCCACTCGCTGTGGTGGAGCAGTTATGAAATATTGTTTTTGTAAATACTTTTCAGCAGTTTCAGTAATAAATATGCATGCAAATTACAGCAAAGCACAACAGTTACCATACGGTATTTGCCAGTTTTAACAGGGAATCTTGAATTGATTTCTTTTTGTAAAGATGTGGATTCAGACGGCAATTAAATTACCACACAAACTTAAGTTTTTGTCAAAAAAACGTAGGTAATTTGGCCAGGGATTTTTACGCGGGTGGTGGGAGAAAAACACAGACGTTCTGGATTCGGATAGCAATAAAATCACAAACAAACCCCTGTAAATGTTGAAAATAGCGTACGTCCCCATGAGAAACAATTACTGTTCGCTGTGGTGGAGCAGTTATGAAATATTGTTTTTGTAAATACTTTTCAGCAGTTTCAGTAATAAATATGCATGCAAATTACAGCAAAGCACAACAGTTACCATACGGTATTTGCCAGTTTTAACAGGGAATCTTGAATTGATTTCTTTTTGTAAAGATGTGGATTCAGACGGCAATTAAATTACCACACAAACTTAAGTTTTTGTCAAAAAAACGTAGGTAATTTGGCCAGGGATTTTTACGCGGGTGGTGGGAGAAAAACACAGACGTTCTGGATTCGGATAGCAATAAAATCACAAACAAACCCCTGTAAATGTTGAAAATAGCGTACGTCCCCATGAGAAACAATTACTGTTCGAAACAGGCTAAAGATACAATCCAGTTTTAAGGATACAAACATAGCTTAAGTAAATAGTATCAATTATGATATTGTTTTTAACTTTTTGCCCTACTGTCTGGCCTGTTAAAGTTAAAGGTATCCATCTGTATTCTATGCTTTAATTAAGCATTTTCATTCATTGTTTGTTGGCTGTGTTTTGTCTGCCCTAAAGCTGCTTCTGGAGATGTTCAGGCCTATCAAATTCGTACTGCCCAAACCAGCACTATTGCTCCAGGTGTGGTCATGGCATCCTCTCCGGCCCTGCCAAGTCAAGGAGGTGCTGAAGAGGTCACGCGCAAGAGGGAGGTCCGCCTCATGAAGAACAGGTAAAAACCAAATCAAGTTTTTGGTAAAAGCAAACAACGTAAAGTCAGCCTTATCACTTATGGTCATACATTCTGTACCTGTTGATACTCTCACATATGTACATTACCGTTTGGGGTTGTTAAGATTTTTGTTACATTTTTAATGAAATGTCTTATGCGCACCAAGGTTGCATTTATTTAAAAAAAATAATAAAATAAAAATATTGTGAAATATTGTTAACATTTAAAATAACTTTTTGATTTTATTACTTTTTTTAAAGATTTATTTTTGGCATTTTAGCCTTTTATTAGGATAGGACAGTATTGTAGACAGGAAGCGAAGTGGGAGAGAGAGAGTGGGGACAGGATCGGAAAAGGTCCACAAGCTGCCTGGGACTCGAACTCTGGATTTTTATCCATTTTTATCAATGTTGAAAACGGTTGTGCTGCTTAATATTTTTTGTAGAAACAGTGCTTTTTTTTTTTCAGTTCACTTCCAGAATAAAAATTTCCTGATAATTTACTCACCCCCATGTCATCCGAGATGTTCATGTCTTTCTGTCTTCAGTCGCAAAGAAATTAAGGTTTTTGAGGAAAACTTTCCAGGATTTTTCTCCATATAGTGGACTTCAACAGGCTGAAGGTCCAAATTGCAGTTTCAGTGCAGCTTCAAAGGGCTCTACACGATCCCAGCTGAGGAATAAGGGTCTTATCTAGTGAAACGACCAGTCATTTTCTAAAAAAAAATAAAAAAAATAAACATTTATATACTTTTTAACCACAAATGCTCATCTTGCACTAGCTCGACCTCACGCATTACGTAATCACGTTGGAAAGGTCACGCGTGATGTAGGCGAAAGCACCAACCCAGTGTTTGCAAAGCGAACGTGCAAAGAAAGTCAAACGCCCTTTACAAAAAAAAGGTAAAACAACAATGTCGGGCGATTTTGGAGTTGGAGGAGAAAATGAGATGGAGTTTTTCACCCTACCCTACCTTTCTGAACCGGAGTACACAGACGAAGAGCTAACCGCACTTGACCTTTCCAATGGGATTATGTAATATGTGAAGACGCACATGCGCAAGCAAAGCTAAAGCAAGACGAGCATTTGTGGTTAAAAAGTATGGCTAGATAAGACCCTTATTCCTCTGCTGGGATCATGTAGAGCCCTTTCAAGCTGCACTGAAACTGCAATTTGGACCTTCAGCCCGTTGGTTCCCATTGAAGTCCATTATATGGAGAAAAATCCTGGAATGTTTTGCTCAAAAACCTTAATTTCTTTGTGACAAAAGACAAAGACATGAACATCTTGGGTGACATGGGGATGAGAAAATCATCAGGAAATTTTTATTCTGGAAGTGAACTAATCCTTTACAAGCAGTACAGATTACTGACTAATTTCAATACTCGAGAGCTGTTTGACAGATATATGTGAGACAATGTAAATATAGCCAGACTCATGTGAACAGGGGGACAAAACGATGACAAAAAAAATCAGATTGTCAAAATACTGAATCTACGCTTTAGACTTTGTCTAAATATTTGATATTCATCAAATAATATAATAAACATAAAACATGGACAAAAAATGAGACGATACCTGAAGGATACATGTAATTATAATTGTTTAGTGTAAATTAGTTTAATATATATATAACAACATTTATCTTAAAACAAAAGGCATGTGGAGTATAATATTTATCTTTAAATAAAGAGATGTTCAATAGTGCATTTTTGCTGTAACAGAGAATCGTGAAATTTCACTGGTTTTTGACAGCCCTATTTTGGACTAAAAAGATTCATCAAAACATCTGCTAAGTAGATCTCAAATTTCTTGCCCCCTCCAGAGAGGCTGCTCGTGAGTGCCGTCGAAAGAAAAAGGAATATGTCAAGTGTCTGGAGAACCGTGTGGCCGTTTTGGAGAACCAGAACAAAACTCTCATCGAGGAGCTCAAAGCACTCAAAGACCTGTACTGTCACAAATCAGAGTGATGTACCACCCGTTCTCCCTTCATTCTGGCAGACTTACGAGACTAAAGGGCGAGTCAGCCAGACACGGACGCATGTTTTCGAAATGTTTTCTTATTCTAAATTGCTGCAGACTGCCTGTATGAACACACAAGTACGTGAGGGAACTGAACAGAAGCCCCCTGGTCAACACAAATCTCCTCTAGAAATATTGGATCATGTCATTAAAGACAAAAAAATAAAAAATGCTGAGAAATTTACTGTGGACATAAACACTCAAGTACGTTCTCAGGCATCTTTACTCCTGGACTCAAACCGAAACTCAGAGGAGGGGTTTATGGGAAAATGTTTACCTTTTTTCCAGTGTGCTGGTGTATAATTCGTCCATAACTTTTAAAAGAGATACAAATAATGTACAATAATAATAATTTAACTGACATTTCAATAGCATGGTAGGCATCGAGAAAGATTTTGTCTTGGAGTTGGCATCATTCCCTCTTGAGATTCTAAAGGTTTAACGTGTCTGACTTACTTTTATTTGGTGTATAGTGCTCTTGTGTTTTAAGTTGACATTTTTACCTTTAAATATGAACAAACTATATAAAATGATGAATATTGATAAACAGAAATATTGTGTATCATATACAGAACAAGATTATAGCCCATGTATATTTCGATTTTGACATTTTGCTCATTTTAGATGGCAAAAATTTACCTAAATCATTTAATTTCATTAAAATCTGCCATTGCGGTAGCAACAGTTGCACATGCAGAATATAAAATGGTTATAATATTGCAAACATTTGGTCACTTATACACCAAAATTCACATTACAATGTCAGGAATTACCCACAGAAGTGAATTTGATATATATTTTTCAGGTTGAAACATTTCTTCACTTTTATGTTGATTATATTCAGCAGATCACTTGTGTGTTATGCTTGTATATCATAGAGCTATAATTGGATGAAATACAATCCAATACATTCAGTCTCTGGCATTATAAACTAAAGCATGTTTTATAAATATAACATTAGCTTTGATATCGTTATATGGTCAGTTTTTCATTTCAACACTAACAACTGGGACGCAGTGTCTTTGTATTTGATAATGTGATGATAACATAAGTAAAGAGTACATGTTATCTATTATAGCATATGCATTTTTGGCAGCTATTTCATATTAAAAAAAAAAGATATGTTAAAAGGATTTATCTTGGTTTCATTTTTCCTTTGTTCACATTCAGTTGCTTCTGAAAATTCAAGAAACAACTGAACAGTTGGTAACTTAAGTTACAGTTTGCCTTCAATCAACGTAAGTTGTATTTTTTTTTGTTTACAAAGTTGTCTCAGTTGAACCAAACTGTTTAAGGCTTTTAAAGTTCTTGATGAATTTGTTTTTTTTTCGAATCTGTCAATTATCTATATATATATATATATATAAAGATTTCTCTTGGTTTCATTTTTCCTTTGTCCACATTCAGTTGCTTCTGAAAGTTCAAGAAACAACTGAACAGCTGGTAACTTGTTACGGTTTGCCTTCAACAAAAGTTGTATTTTGTTTACAAAGTTGCTCCAGTTGACCCAAAATGTTTAAGGCTTTTAAAGTTCTTGATGAATAATTATTATTTTTTTAAATCTGTCAATTAAATGTTGTAGTATGACATTTTGCATATACTTTGTATTGAGGACAGAAAGTTTTAAATGAGATGTTAACAGACTATGAATTAAAAATGCCCATCAACAATTCCAGTCTGTACGGAAAAGTACCCTTGTCATCTGTTAGCAAGTGCATCATCTGCTGCTACTCCTAAACTTCGAGTAGCAGTCTGCCTGACGTGTCATTTACGCATTCAGGCATGACAAATTAGGGAAGCAATCTCTCCACAGCAGGCATTCACGGTCCAGATCTGCAGTCTAACTGCTTATGCAAGCTGACATGCAACCTGACTTCCCTCACAAAACCGATTATTTTCTGACACAAGAATCTGAATTGGTTCGTCGAAGGACAGACTGACCTCAGCTTTCAGAGAAATGCAAATTCTGTCTGTTTTCCGTGATTGAATCTTTATTCATTTTCCTGAACTGGTAGTAACTTTTTTTCCTCTTGTATGTACCCCTTATGCAGTGAGATTGACCTACTACCATGCTGGCCAAAGTGAACTCTGAAATATTCTACTATGTGTGTTTGTCTCCATGCATACAAAAAACCCAATCAATCTAATGCAATGTTTGATCCCACTCATTTTGGACAAACATATCATGCACTTTTTGTATGATAGCTTTCACCTTTTGGACACTATGTACAGCACTGGTAGGATTTTATAGTGTTTCAAAAGTTTAGAAGTGTATTGTATATACTCTGTGACTTGGCTTACATTTTTAGAAGCGTTGCACTCTTGTTACTATTATAATACAATTGTGTATACTTCATGTTGTTTCCCCCACCTCTCTTTTGTACACAAATGTAAATCTTTAATAAAATACTAATACTGCACACTGGGTGTTGTGGTTGGAAATACAGTGCAATGCAATGCACAACTTAAAAAGTAAAGTAAAAAAAGATTTTTCAAAGCTGTAAATAAAGGTTATTGGAGTATGTTTTACAAGAAAATACCATTTCAGTCTTTCTACTTTAAAATTGTACGTTTAATTGAATGTTTTACCTTCCATTCCCTTGTAATTATTTGAGAAATTTAGTAATTTACTAGCAATTTCTGAATGAAAATTGTTTCAAAGTAAATGCTGTAGGGAGCTGCATGAGACCCCTGAATAAGTCTGAAGCATTATATTAACCCACAATTTTCTGTTTATTTTAATATATATATATATATACACACATATACACACAATGAACAGAATATTTTGGGTTAATATAAGTGATTATATATGAATGAATGTTAATTTGGTAGATATATTCCAAGATTTGACATTTATTTTTAGCAAAATTAGATTAAAATTTTATAATAAATGTCATTCTTGAATTGTAGTGGCAAACAAGGCCACTCCAAATATATATACATATACACACACAAATTGTATGTTTTATTGGTATTTAAGGTTTGTTTACTGTTGTAGATGGATACCACTGCCAAAAAAAAAAATTAAATGACCCAACCATTTTTATTTCAGAGATGATAACTGGACACCATTTGTTGAGTTAAACATGCATAGTACTTTTGAAATGTTTATCATTACATAGTTTGTACTATTTCTCAAAATAATTGTAGGCACTGTACAGGATACACTGCAGTACGCTAGTGTTCCATTTCATTCTATTCACAAAGAGGTGTAAATGGGCGGTGTTTAAATCGTTAGCTATCCGGCGTGATTGACAGTTTGAATAACCAATTCTTGAACAGATCTTTATTTTGTTTTGGAGTTCATCCAATCGTAATTGATGGAATGTCGAAAAGGGGCGGGCCCTTACCTGCGTCACTCGGAGCAGATGGCGGTGGTGGCGGGGAGTGGATCGCTGCTGCTGCTGCTGCACTGGCCGGCGAGGAGGAGGGGATAACGAGGGGATTCTCCGACGAGACTCGGTGGACAAAATCTAAATAACTCCAAACAAACCGGAGTTTGAATTAGGCGCATGTAAACGGACAGGACTTTATTCATCTGCTGCGTTAAAAGCCTAATTTTCTCTCGCTACGGGCCCGAAGGCCTGAGGATTTGAGTGATTATTGGATCCAGAGTTTCAGCCGATACACAGATCTGTCCTATACATGACGGATAAATGCTTGGAAGTCTGTTCTTGAGGGGCTATTCCATCTGTTCCCGATTTGAACCGCCAAACCGGCTTAATTTAGGACACATTCGGACATTTAAATCGGAGTTAAAGGGATGGTTTATTTCAGTTAGCACGGCGGCTAATAACGCGCTTATTCACAATGTATCAATATTAGCTGTTAGCAGTTAGCATGTGCTGTTAATTTAAAAGAACAAATCTGTATTCAATGATCTCCGACCGATATTTTCTAGTGATATGCTGTCAGTCACCTGTTTTATATCCGGTTGGATTGATTACTCGGTTGTTAAAACCTTAAGTCTTCTGCCGCACTGTCTCTAAATGCATGGAGTCCCGTTATATGACTGGCACAGACAGTAAAATACCTCTTGAGTCTGGAGCAGCAAGACAGCACAGCAGTAAATGCTGACTCCGTGTGTCCATTACAGCCTTTCATGCACCTTCATTTAGCTTGAGTTCATTCGTTGGATCCATTGATTCACATTTGATGACAGAAGCAGCCTAGACGAACACACCTGATCAGGTAGAACACATACTTTTGTGTATCATCATGGGAAATACAGTGACCTGCTGCGTGTCCCCCAGTGGAAGCCCCAAACTATCCAGGCAGGTGGAGTGTCTGGAGGACTATCAGATCAACACAGACCTGAGCGATGACACCGGTCCATACTTGCAGCACATCAGTGACCGAGAGGTGCCCGATGGTAAGTTCTAGTACCAGGGGTGTCAAACTGAATTCCAGGAGGGCTGGAGCCCTGCAGAGTTTTGTTCCACCACACATACCATGTAGTTTTCAAATAAGCCTGAAGGACTTGATTAGTTGGATCAGGTGCGTTTAATTAGGGTGGAATCTAAACACTGCAGGGCTCCGGCCCTCCAGGAATTGAGTTTGACACCCCTGATCGAGACCATGATTGCTCAGTCCTACTCGTGGAAATCAACCTTCTGGATTAACCCTGCTCAAACACATCTGAACTAGCTCATCAAGGTCTTCATGTTTACTTGATAATGATACAGACAGGTGTTGGAAATTAACTTTCGAGGTGAATCTCCCCTAACAAAACTAAGCACCCTTGATTTATATCTACTGTTTATTAGAAGTAGTTTCAAGGTCTGAACTGGATGTGTCCGAGTAGGTTGACATCCAAAGTGTGCAGTTTTGGGGTTATCCAGAATAAGAACTAAATCTATAACTTTAACCAAAATGTAGGTTTGAATCCTGCAAGTGTTGGTCTGTCACGACAAAATTCTATTCTATTCTATTCTATACTTGTGTTTCCACATTTGTGTGCCACTGCGTCTTGAGGAACTCTACTGCTGTGATCCGATGCCTTGACCTCCTCGTCTCACGGGTCGGGTTTCTGTTTAGAGCTGAACAATTTAAGTGCTGTTGGTTTGCTCTGAAAGTGGGTGACCTATGACAATTTCGGTCTGAATAACAATTACATATTATAGTAATCAGCTACACTTAATAATGTTATTGAAAGAAACAAGGTTTATGGAGATCTCGGAAGGATATCTGTGAGTATTTGGGATGTGTGTGATGCCTCTTGGGATTGTTTGTAGTCTTTATTGCTGTTTATTTAGCCTGAGCTATTTTACCCTCAGGGGAGATGCATATAGTCAGTCACACACACTCACAAATAACTTCCAGTGCTGTATTTAGAGCAACATGTCTTCATCTTTTAAAGCACATATGACAGCAGTGTAAACTCCACCACTATGGCTGCGGTTAATCCTTTGTGATTCTAGGTTTTTGTTCATTTGGAATTCTGTTGAACATGAGAATAAAAACGATTCTAAGTTTAATTGGCAGAGACTCAAAAATGTGTAGTATTCCTGGCATCCCAGTGATGTAGATCTTGGGACAGCTGCATTCTCTTCTTATCTCGCTCTCTTGTTGGGAATCTCCACGAGGCATGTTTTGTTCCCTTTGAGGTTTAGTGTGTTATGCCAGTGTTTCCCAATCTTTTTATACCTTATGCCGAGTTCACACTGCACGATTTTAGCACGATTTTTCACTCGCCGATAGGTACATACACCTTAATTACCACCAAAACAAAAGAGGCGAAATGCAAGAAAGATAAGCACTGCTGATATGATAGGATTTATTTTTATTGTACAGGCAGCACTGAAAATTAAGTTGTGAATTTTCTTTTGCAAGTAAAACGAAATCTATCTGAGGTTCACATACCCCTTGTTGGGAATCACTGCTACGCCACACTATAGCTGTGTTCCTCACCTCAGTGAGGACGGTGGCCCTACCCCCAGGGGTTATTTTTGACTTTGGCGTTGGAGAATGGGAGTGTCAGTTGAGTACATGAGCTCTAGAGACCTGTGGAATGAATGAATCTCAGTTGTTCAGCACATACACTACTATTCAAATCTTTGGGTTGTTTCTTTTTTTAAAGAAATTAATCATTGTATTCAGCAAGTATGCATTAAATTGTTACAAAGTGACAGTAAAGACATTTACATTGTTACAAAAAAATCTATATAAAAAAAATGCTGTTCTTTTGTATCACTGTTTCCACAAAAATATTAAGCAGCACAACTGTTTTCAACATAATAATAATAAGAAGAAGAAGAAGCACCAATTCAGCATAATATAATGATTTCTGAAGGATCATGTGACACTGAAGACTGG